TCACATGTTACTAACACGTATATATGCCCAGGAATGGATCCGGGAATTCGGGATACCTTGGACTAAAAAGTAATTATATACTAGGCTTAAATATTAGCGGATGGGCTAAAACTATAAAAAGTTTACACTAAAAAATTGAAAAATATTTAAGCTCCCGTACGTGAATTTCAGTCTACCATAGTCTATACATTGACCCTTCACGTATATGCCATTATATGTGATCTTCCTTACATGATATGCTAGGATCGACAACTAACGTAATCATATTTATACTTGTGCATGGATCTAGGACTTCCATGTGATCAAATGTATCATGCATGTTTGGACTGTACTAGAAATGCGCAACTTTTTTTTAGAGCTAAGGGATTATTGGTCAAGGAATTATAATTAGTGTAGGTGCCATGGGTTATTAGTAGTACTCACGCAACAATTATATTCCCCATTGTAAAATCGCATAGTTTCTCTTTTTGAATACCACAATTTATGTTGCGAAGCCTCCTAAAATGTGTACGGGAGTTTTGTCTAGAAACAAAATAAGGGCAACTTAACAACGGTTAGAAACTACGATATTTTAGTTTCTTTAATTGATGCTATTTTATTCTGAACATATATTGTCCATTCAATACTTATTTAACTTCCCTTCAATACTTATATTAAAACTAAATGTATTGATTTGATTTTGTAATTCATTTTAGGTCAAAGAGAGCATTTTTTAATTTTTTTAAGCAGGACAATCCTTTAATTTAAAAGCTTGAGTGATAAGAAGTAAAAACGTAACTCACTTGGAAAAGAGAGCACAAGAGTACGTCATGGGAAAACAAGGAAAATCGGAATAGAGAGAACAAACGAATGGGAAATCAGTACGTAACACTTCGGATGCGAGAAAATAATTAACGTAGCATATGGATTAGGACGAAGTATTTTGTATCATATTGAACTCATTTTTAAACTTTTTACGTTCATCAGTCAACCTCATCTATACTAAATACAAATTCATACGAAAAAGGCCAAAAAACGCAAAGAAGGATTTAGGTATCAATTTTCTCAATATACATTTCTCGATCAATATATGTATAAACCCTGGTAAAAAAATATGTATAAACTCTATGAATAAAAAATCAATACCCGAATCTATATACGACTCTGTGAAACATCCAAAATCAATACCCGAATCTATATACGACTCGATGAATGACCAACTCAACTGCCGCTAGATTATCAAAATCCACCGGCGGCCCTGTGGCAAAGCGGTCACCGTCACCATAGAGGAATCGCGTCATGATCACTCCAGGCAGAACGTCCGGAATCTGGTCGGTGAGGTATGGCCCCCTGACCAGTGTAGCAAGTAGGTCTTCCTCGAACCCGTGAAACCGTAACCAACATACTAGGAGTAACAATCGCAAGGTTCCTGGGTCCTCGATTCTCGGCGTCAATCCTTCATGAAACACCACTTCCATGTTGACGTTGAGGAAGATTATGGAAGTGGACCACGGTAACCAATCACGAATGCCGGCGGAGGCCATCAAGGACGGCGCTGTGAGCTTCAATAAATAAAAAGACTATTAGATTAAAGTCAAGAAGAACAGATATATTACTCTACTAGTTATTATTCCCAATGTATGACTATTACTAATAATTATCTCACGTGAATGCTCAAGATTAAGTTTATATATATATATATAGAGTAATGATCCGGTCAGGAGCTCCTGACCGGAACTGCCGTCCGGACCAAGGCGTTTGGCCGCCTTCCTGGTGGCTTTTTTTGATGAAATTTTTATGACATGTTCTCCATCAAGTCTAGTTTATCCACAAAAAAATTCAGCCAAAAACTCAACCGGGAAGGTCGTCAAATGATTTTTGCAAGTTAACTGGTCCGGAAAATACATATTCCGGACATGTCATAAACTAGACTTGATGGAGAACATGTCATAAAAATTTCATCAAAAAGAGCCACCGGGAAGGCGGCCAAATGCCTTGGTCCGGACGGCGGTTCCGGTCAGGAGCTCCTGACCTGAACATTTGTGTGTGTGTGTGTATATATATATATATATATATATATATATATATATATATATAGGGAGCGTTTCCGGTAAGAACAGATCTTAGGAGAAAAATGAGAACGAATCTGGACCGTTGGATTGTATTATGTGGAACCAAATTGTGCATTTGGTGAAACTGAAATGTGCATTAAATGATATTGAAATGTGCAAGATAAAAATTTAAACACAAGTGTGCATTAGATGAAACTGATATGTGCGAAAAAAAGTACAAAAATAACATCACATCGTACTTTTTATTCTGCATATTTCAGCTTCACCTAGTGCACATTTCAATTTCACGTATTGCACAATTCAACTGCACATAATGTCACTCTATCGTACCCTTTGTGATGCACATTTCAATTTCATCTAATGCGCATTACAGTTTCATCTAATGCATACTGAATTTCACTTGAGGCAAATCTAACGGTCCAGATTCGTTCTCATTTTTCTCATAAGATCGTGTTCTTATTTGAACCAAAACCTATATATATATATATATATATATATATATATATATATATATATATATATATATATATATTCCAGACGCTGCCCTTTATGTTAAATATAGGAAGTTTTTCAGTTCTTCCTATTTAGTCGCTAACTGCTATGCACGACTACTATACATTAATTAAGGTGTCTATCGACCAATTAGTTCTTCCAATATATATAACAGCCGCTTCCTTAAATAATATGGGATAATTTCATGCACTTACAAGTTACAATGATATCTAATTGAATAACTTAAATCACTGTTAATTTAATTCAGAGCAGAAATACATATTGCCCTAGTGCCCTCTATATTGCGACATAGGTATACTTTCATTTCGTTTAGAGCATCTTCAATGCAAAAACGTTAACGGTGTATATGTGGCATGAGAGATAGCCAATCAAAAAACAATAAATAAAGTATCTCTCTCCTTATTTGAAGGATCTTATATCATTTTGGTAAGTTTTTCTTCACAATGTCAAGCACAATGTCTAGAAGTAGACATTGTGGTTGACATTGCAGAGAAAAACTTACCAAAAACACATAAGACCGTGGAAAGACGGAGAGAGAAACGTCATAAAAACAATATTTTGTGTCTATCTCTCTCATGCCACATGTGCACCGTGCACATTGTAGCATTGGAGATGCTCTTAGTTATGCACTAACTCCTTAATTTCTTTTCACTGTCTAATAATTACTGCACATACATAACTAGTGTCATCTAGATCTGTCTCAATGCCTCTTTTTTTTCAATCGTTATAATCTTTAACGAGGGAACCTGTTATGATGACCATTTAACGATCATTTTATTCGTGTTTAAAAAACTGTTTTTTTAGTAGTGGCAGATCTTGAATTTCCTTGGGTTAGAGCAAGTGGGGCGGGGGCTGGCTGCTGTGAAGGGGACCTGGCTGGGAAGATGAGGGGGGCTAAGAAGGGGGCTGTTAGGGTGGTCCGGTTGGGGCGGGGGATGGGCAGGAAAGGGGTTGGGTTGATGGGGGCTGGGGGTTTACAAGTGGGACCGGGCCTGGCCTGTTTAGATAAACGGGCTTTTTGAAAAGCTCAAGCCTGGCTTGATTACTAAACAGGCCAGGCCAGGCCAGGCCTTTAACAAGCCAGGCCACAGGCCCCTGACAGGCCGGCTGGCCTATTTCCACCCCTACCCCTTATAATAATCATGAAATTTTATTTTAAAAAGGATATTCTATTAAAAAAAGGGAGATATAAGGAGTAGTAATAAGGCATCCTAATAACTGTTTGTATCGCTCAGGAGGCCAGGAAGAGGAATGGCGGTTCAAGAAATTGATGAAAAGAGGTTTCTTTTCTTTTTTAATCATAAAATTGATATGAATCGTGTTATAGAAGATGGTCCTTGGCTATTTGAGTGGAATCTGTTAATGCTAAAGGCAGTTGGCCCTAATGATATACCGCATAAAATGGACTTGTTTGAAGCAGAGTTCTGGGTGCAAGTGCACAATGTGCCGTATAAGTTTATGAATGTTGATACTGCTAGGAGGGTGGGTAACTATATTAGGGAATTTATTAATTTTGATGAAAGCCACTTTGAGGAAAAATGGAGTTCTTACTTGAGGGTTAGGATAAAGATGGATGTAAGAAGACCCCTAAAAAAGGGTTCCACTTTGACTAAGGGAGGGGAAGGACATTGGGTAGATTTCAAATATGAAAAATTACCAAGCTTCTGCTTCATTTGTGGGATTATGGGGCACTCTGAGAAGTTTTGCCCATTAAAATATGTGGATGATCTAGTTTTGGAGAAAAATTTTAGTGCTGATCTCAGAGCAGGGAGTGGGGGTAAGATTAGCCCCACGAGGGGCGGCAAGTGGCTGGGGGATAAACAAGGAGGTTCGAGTCAGCAATGGAGGGCTCAACAGAAGGAAGAAGGCACTATGAGACAGGACCGTAGGGGAAGTACCGCTGAGTCTGAAAGCAGTGGCACAAAGGAAGAGACTAGAGGCGGTGCAGGGGAGGTCGCGGTGGACCAGAAGCGCAAGAGAGTCTGGAAGGAGCCGTCAGAGGAAAACAACTCAGGAGAGGAGATGGCACAGGACAACACAAAAAACGGGGAGTAGGCGGGTCTCAGCTCCTAGGCCCGCCTCAAGTGTTCATGAAGCTGCAGGTGCAGAGTTTCCACAGTGGTGCTTATTTTATTATTGCTTATTTTGTTTCTTTTGCTGGTCAGACTGTTGTTTTTGTTATTTGTTTTGGTTATTTTTGTAAGACTCTTGCATTAGGCTCGGGTGATGAGTGTGCTGCAGTAACCATTATTGGCTCAGTTATGCCCAGTTTAGGATCAGCGAGTTATACTGCTTTTTTGAAGGTGGTTAACTCAGAGTCTGGCCCAAGGGCGGATGGTTATGAGTGGTGCTCTTGTTATTTTAGATCCTTGCTGAATGCTTTTATTCTAATATAAGCTCCCTTCATTCAATAAAAAAAAATAAGGCATCCTAATTGTGATGGAAAAGCTAATTTTAAGGAAAACTTATTTCCGACTATTAATTAGGAAGAGAATTAGAAGGAATTGTATCTTTGATTAAACACCTCCCACGATCTAAATCTAAACTCCCGTATAATAATTTAGAGGATCTGTAATTTATTTGTCTCTCTTCATAGCGCCGCTTGAATTCTCTCCCTCAGGACGTCACGTAAGTTTTCCCCCCCTTGAATCACTCCAGAATTGATTCAGCCTTTTGTTTGAATTTAATGCTTTGAGAGATTTTACTACTCCACTTATAATGGAATCACACCGATGGTTGCCTGGAAACATGGACCATCCCTTCCTATATATAATCATGCGAGACATTTATCAGATCAACATCAAACCAGACATTTTTCAGTTAAAATAAAAACATCCGATTTAATTCATCTGTCGCAGTATCAGCAGCAGGAAAAAGATACTCGAAGATGGTATTGGGAGAATTAAGAGGGAGTATTTCCCGTGCAATCCAGAGTATCAATAAGGCCATCATAGTCAACGACCAAGTATTGATTGATTGCCTCAACGAAATCAGCCGCGCTCTTCTTCAAGCAGACGTCCAATTCAAGCTTGTTCGTGATGTGCAGGCCAATATCAAGTCCATCGTCGACCTCCACAACCTACCTGCAGGCCATGACAAACGCAAAATTATTCACCAGGTTATTTAATTCATTACTTTTTACGTAGTATGTTTTTGTTTACACTTCTTATTTCAACTTCTTATTTTATGCAACTGTTGGTGGTATTATTAGTGTGGGTCACAAGTCAAAATTTTAGGAGGTTAAATTGGATACTTTATTGGTTAAAAAAATATGTAACATAATTTCCCGACCGCAAAATGCCATTTGCGGTGAGGCCAATAGAGAAGGATATCACTTTTTTGGTCCCAATTAAACATTTGCAATCATTTATTAGGTTTTTACGGCCGCTTTTCCCTTCAAAAATAAGCCCTTTTCTTTTGTAGTGCTAACAATTGGTAGTTTGGATTACTGCAGGCAGTATTTAAAGCACTCTGTGACATGATGGATCCCGGCAAGCCTTTTTTCACTCCAAAAAAAGGGAAAACAAGTGTCATTATATTTGTTGGTTTGCAAGGTATGTATGTTGTGTATATATACTATACGTACGAGTATATAATTAAGTATCTCTTCGATCTTTTCACATCTTCTTTACCATATGCGAATCATGACTCATAAGCGGCAATAATGATATAATTGTGGGAGCTGAATGATAACCAAATTAGTACGGAATGCATATTTGGATGTCACACCAATTGTTCATTGGACTCCTAATTTTATACTCTAATAAAGCCACAAACTCAGAGTATTATTATTGGGATACTCCAATAACAGAGTAGGTTATTGCTACTGCAATTACAGAGTGCTAAGATGTAGTATGTGCTACGTAGTATTATTATTGTTAACTTGTAATATATTGTTTTCATTATTATTATACCATCCATTATGAAAAGCAAACCTAAATGCAGTTAGTATTTTTAGAAAACCAAACCATTATACTCCCTTTTATCCACCAAATTTGATCAAATTGACTTTTCCATAAAACTCTGGACAATAATTTTAGTTATTACTCCGTATATTAATTTGATTTGAAAATTATAGTGAAAAGAACAGTTGGGTATATCATTAACGTTTTTAATATGCATGTTAAATTGTTTAGGTTCTGGAAAGACAACAACGTGTACAAAGTACGCGTATTATCATCAGAAGAAAGGCTGGAAACCCGCTTTGGTATGCGCCGATACTTTCAGAGCTGGAGCTTTTGATCAGCTCAAGCAAAACGCAACAAAAGCTAATAAGATTCCTTTCCATGGGAGTTATACTGAGACCGATCCCGTGAAGATTGCAGTGGAAGGGGTGGAGAGATTCAAGAAAGAAAACCGTGATCTTATTATTGTTGACACCAGTGGACGCCACAAACAAGAAGCTTCTCTGTTTGAAGAAATGCGTCAAGTTTGCCAAGCAACCAGTCCAGATCTGGTCGTGTTTGTCATGGATGGAAGCATTGGTCAAGCTGCGTTTAATCAAGCTCAAGCTTTTAAGCAAACTGTTGAGGTTGGAGCTGTCATTGTCACCAAAATGGATGGCCATGCAAAGGGTGGTGGTACTCTTAGTGCGTAAGTATTACTCCCTCCGTCCCGCTATGATTGTCCCGTTTTACATTTTCGGAAAATCTCACTAAGATTGTCTCATACTAAATTTCGTAAAGTTTGTGTGACTCTAAATCATTCTTATTTTACTTTTACTTTATCAATTTAATATCAACCGCACAAACTCACTTTTATTAATAAGCGTGTCACCTTCTCTTATCTCAATCTTAATAGGACGGAGATAGTATTACTGTTGATATTTCATCCATAAATCTTCAAAAAAGGGTGAACCCCAAGCCCCGGCCCGAAAGAGTTGGTAGAAAGGGTAAATGGATATATAAATGATACCTTAATTATTGGTATTGCTAGTTGCATTGTAGTACCTTAACTCTTAAATGAAACAAATCAACACCATAATTACACGTAAATGTTTCAAACAAGAATATTCAATTTTCCGGCCAAAAGACCTAGCTAGGAGTAGTAGGAGTTTACATCCACCGTACATTGGTGACATATAGATGAAACTAATGTACAATGAACTGTATGGATCGACTGCAACATAGGTTTTTTTTTACCGTAGACATGAACCATGATGTTAGTTGAAACATTTTAGTATAGTTGTGGTGGTGACTTGTTTCATTTAAGAGTAAAGGTATCAAAATGTAACAATACGCATTATTAAGGTGACTTTTACACATTTAACCCGTCAATAGACCTTATACTTATGCCCACTAGAGATCCATGTCACCACATAGGATCGGAGTTGTCGTAACCTCCACATGGTTGTTATGAGTTTCGATCCTTGATTGTTCTTCCAATTAGGGGTGGGGAAACGGGTCTTGGAACCGCGGTCCGGTCCGGGTAATGGCGGTTCGGGTCCAAAACGGGCCGGTTCCATTTTTTGTTGCCATAAAACGGTCCGGGTAGGGTCGGGTAATTTTTTTAAAGAACCGGACCGGTTCCAAAATTAAAAAATAACGGGTACCCGGCCCGGCCCGTTATATATATTGTATATTAATTTATTAATAGTTTTGTGATAATCGGTTTTGAAATAGTTTTATTTCCTTTGCTAGAAGTATGATTTTAAATTGAGTTGCAATAACATCATTTTGTTTTCAAATTATTGATTAATTTTTTCATAAATATCTTATTACTTTTTATTGTTATTGAGTTATTCCTTTCTATGGAGTTTAATTATTTGTTAAAAATGACTTTGTTATATTTTTTTATAATATTGTTCTTAAAATATATAAATTGTGTTTACCACCCACCATGTGTGTGTCAACTTTGGCCAATACTGAAAATTTAATTAAAAAAAGCAATCACTTATATTGGCTCTGTTGCATATTTTTGGAATTTCTTTAGACAACATGTTTAAATACAAATGTTAGAAAATATGTATTTTGGCTATGTTGCATATTTTTAGAATTTCTTTAATTGTTTGAAACTTATATACATGAAATTATGGAGTATTGGACTTGTCGTTTGTGTTACGTGTGCACCACTATGTTGTTTTGAAACTTGCTAATGCCCTATATTATTGATTTTTGGAACTTCGTGAGTTTTTACTAATTTTAAGACATGAGAATAGAAACCGTAAAACCCGGACCGGACCGACCCGTTTCAAACGGGTCGGGTAAGGTCCGGTTCCTATTTTGAAAATTGCAATACTCGGACCGGACCTGACCGTACAATGGAACCGGCGGTTCCATTTTATTTTGCATTACCCGCCCCGTGCCCAACCCTACTTCCAATCTTCCCACCGCTCGACCAACTAAGCAACATATGTTTTATGCGTGGAGGAATTCTTCTAACAATACGGTTAATTATTATTGGTAGAAAGTATTGAATTCTATTTGTTTTAAAAAAATTACAGAATAGCAGCAACACAGAGTCCCGTCATATTCATAGGAACAGGAGAACATATGCATGATTTTGAAGTTTTTGACGTCAAGCCTTTTGTTAGGCGCCTTCTAGGTACTATTGATTTATTCATTTATTATACCTTTTCTTGGGTTAAGTTAAAAAAATTCAGTTAAAAATATGTTCCTACTAATTAATTAATACTGATTTATTTCTTCTTTAATTAGGGATGGGCGACTTCAAAGGAATCAGGGACAGGCTTCAAGATGCTGTTCCGGTGGATCAACAGCCTCAACTTCTAAAAAAACTCTCAGAAGGAAATCTTACACTAAGAAGCTTTTATGAGCTATTGCAGAGCGTTCTGAAACTCGGACCTTTAAACCAGATGTCCTCAATGCTTCCGCAAGGCTTTTCCGAATTATTAGTTGGCAATGGGAAAGAAAGCCAAGAATCAAAGATTAAACGTTGCACGATCATGATGGACTCGATGACCAATCAAGAACTGGATAACCCAAAATTGCTTATGGTGAATGGGTCGTCCCGAGTAATGAGGATTGCCCGAGGGTGTGGTCGCCAGGTTGAAGAAGTAACGGCGATGTTGCAAGAATACAAAAATCTTGCGAAAGGATTTTCAAAGATTCCGAAGAAGTCAAAGAACATAGGGCAACAGATGATGAGCAGTTTAATCCCACCTCAGATGCTGAAGCAGATAGGAGGTATGGGTGGCATGCAAGCTCTGATGAGACAAATGGGCCCAAATAATTAACGTAACATTATGAATTACTACGACGAGTATTTTGTATTATATCGTTCATTGAACTCGTTTTTTTTAAACTTTTTAGGCTTCATCCTGATTGATTTTTAGAAACACTAAATATGAAAAAGGCAAGACAAAACGCTAAGAAGAATTGATCGAAAAAGGATTTACGATTAAATTTTAAGATATACTATACGTAGTATATTATCTTCTTCCATTTTTATTTAGCCATCTTTGACTTTTTCAATCAAATATGGTAATTTTTTATCCATTATTGTAACTAATGTATTAATGTTAAATTTAATAAATTTATACTTTTATGGTAATTTTTTGGCCTCTTTCCATGAATAATATTATATTAAATTCAAAATACAAAAATATGACTTATTATGCAATTTTCCAAAAAGTGACATATTTAGTGACTAGTTCACGGTAACTCATTATTTACAATGACATGCAGCGGCGGACGCAGGAATTTCCGATAGTAGGGGCGGCAGTACAAAAATATACATACAAATACATTAAAAATTTCGGGGTAAATATACCTAAAAAAATTGGAGGGGCAGCAGCCCCCTTTTGTCACCCCCCTCTGTCTGCCATTGATGACATGTCATTCTAGAATACACTACAGTAATTAGTTCAATGACTCCTACACATGAATAGTCATACATTTGTCCAAAGACATAACTTGTCATACTTTTGTTCGGAGAAACTCTATTATTAGTGATATATACATGCCATCTTTTCAATTTTTTTTTACAAAGAACATTTTATATTATCAATATTAGTGTATAATAAATATACTCCGTATAATCATTCAAAGTTCAACTTCTTTGACTTGAAAAGTCAAATCTAGCTTAATAAAAGTGAACGAAGGAGTATATAATTTATTCCTATAATTTATAAGTTATTGATATGCTCGAGCTCTAATTGAACTGAACATGACTATGCTCAAATTCAGTTTGAATAACTATTCAAACTCAAAATCTAGTCTGTGTTCAGGTTCAAAGCTCATTAATCTTGGTTCATTAAATTAAATTTGAAATCACGCTCGAACTCGAGTAGTTTGAAAAAAAGTTCAGCTCAATAACAACCCTAAACTAATCCTTTTGTACGCAGTAACAATTTTTTTTACGACTTAGCCTACCCCATCCCTCATTCCGGATCCACCCCTAGAGTTGTTAGGGGGTATGGGAGGGTATGATGCGTAGGTGAGTAGGGGTAGAGGGTAAGGTCATGGTAAGGGTAGGGGTCAAGAGTGTGGAATTGGGGGGGGGGGGGGGGGGGGCAGGGCCGAACCTATATGTGAGGCAAAGAGGCAATTGCCTCAGGCCCACGGTTTTGGGAAAAAAATTAGGGCCCAAAAATATATGATTTTCCTTTATATATATTCATAACTAGTAGGCCCAATTTGAATTTGCAGCTTCCCAAATTCCAACTTCAAGCTTTGAAGAGTTCTCTGGTCTAGAAGAGTCGAAAATGTTAATTCATTCCTTTCCAGAATGTAATGATATGCACTAATTAGTAGTGCATAAATGCATCTTTTTATGTTTGATTTGTGTGGATTGTTTACCATTTTATTTAGTTTGAAAACATTTGTGTGATTTTAGTTTTAATTGTATTTTAGTTCTCATTTGTAAGTTGTAAAGTAGAGTTAGGGTTTATGGTGTTGGAAAGGAAGACTTTGAAGTGAAGAAAAATGATTATTGGCCGCCCAGGACAATCACCTGGTCGGGTGAGACTTGAAATGCGAAACTGCTCAGGAAATTACATCACCCGCTCGGGTGAGGTATTTCACCCGGTCGGGTCTGACTTGACCCGGGACAAAATGACGTGCTGAAAACACAAGAACGTGGAAGATTATCTGATTTTGACATGCACCCGGTCGGGTGGGCACTTGAGCCGGTCGGGTACCCGGCCAAAGGTGTTGAAAAACACCTATAAGTAGCACACTTTTCCTTCACTATTTATCATTCGTTCTTCCATTCTCTTAAGCTCAGTTTAGAATAGCATTTCTTTATATTTTTCTAGCATGTTTAGTCTCCAAATGAGGAGCTAAACTTCCAATTCTTGGTGTTGCTCTTGAACCTTGTTAATTATTAAAGTTGTGAGTTATTTTTTTAACTTCTTCCCTTGAATATTAATTATTCCCTTAATCTATCTATATATTAATGTTGGGGAGTGTTGCTAAGTTGACAATTAGTTAACATCTCGACATTAGTTATAGTAGGATTTATCATCTTTAATATTTTTCCTTGAATATTAATTAATTCCTATTCATATTTCATATTAATATTTTGAACATTACTTAAAGGATCAACAAAATGTATATCTTCTTATGAAGAGGAGTTTCCCGGGCCGGTTCACCAAATGGAGGGCTCGAGCCCGGACCGCCATTCCACCGGGCCAGGTCGACCCGAACCGCCCTTGGGCCGGGCCGCCGGTTTGGTCCGGTTCAAATAGTGACCGGGCCGGTTCTGGGTCGGGCTGCCCAGCCCGGGTCCACCCCTAATCATATACAGTTATACACTAAACTCATCGGTCATTAATAGGTTCGACATTATTCTTTATTGAGGTAAGGCTAGTACATCAACTTGTATGACGTGAAGTAAAGAGTGCATTATATTGCATTCGATCTTTTTAAGTATACAAATTCGGGTTTTTAGTGTTAACTGAGTACACTCGTTACAATGTTACATTAACACGTTAATACGAATGAGTTGCCTAACATAATGCTAATAAGTCGGTTTCTTGAAGGTCAATGTCAGCCCCTGCCACTTGATCGACTCCCCCCTGGTCGACGTCAAACCCCCCACAGGCTGACTTCTCCTTCATCGATGCACCCCTATTAGCAAACGCCCCCCTGTGGGTCGATCTCCGTAGGTCGATTTTTCCTTTTTGATCGACTTCGTGAAGGTCGACACCATAACCTTGGTCCATTACGCCTCCGTACTCAGCATTACATTAGCCAACTCAACTATATTAACGTGTTAATCTATTAAATGTACTCAATTAATACTAAAAACCCAAATTTATGTACTTAAAAAGATCAAATTCAATATAATTTACTCTTTACTCCACCACATACAAGTTGATGTACTATTGTACTCAATTGACTTTTTGCTCATTCTTTATCCTATTGACACACTACCCTTTCTTACTTTCTTTTTTATCCTCCTCCCTTATTTATCATGTCTAATTAAGTAATATTACATTATTACTGACCTCTCTTCCAGCACTCATATAGTTATACCCAATTTTTTCTTTCATTATTCTCTTTTGAATAATAATAACCTCTCTTCTATTTCATGTTATATAACCCATTGCTCAAGATCAAAATTTTCTTGAAATGCGATTGTAAAAGATATCTATCAGCGGTGCAAATTAGGAGTTTTACAAATATTTTTATTATTATTTTCTAAAATATAAGGTCATTTTAACACTTTTCATTTCTTTGAAAATTTGAAGCTCAAGCAGGAATTGCAACTCATGTATGAGTATGAGTCGTATGACCAAATTAAAAAGAATTGCAACTCATGTATGACCAAAATGATTATCTTAATTAAAAACAATAATAATTTGGACTAGTTAAATGCGTGATAGATGGTGTATCCCATTTTTAAAAACTGAAAACCGAAAGCCCGTGGCTGCCCTTAATGACGCCGCCAAGTCATGAACTTCAACTTCAGAGGAGAAGGTGAAGATGGCGTAAGGAATTTGGCATCGCTAGCAGGCCGGAGCTTGAGCTCGTTTCCTCGCCGGCCACATAGTTTATGTAGCTTCTCCACGAATCAGTTTACGCCACCGCGTGCTTCCAAAGCCGGCATCGTCTCTTCCAGCACGGCAGCTGGACTGGTCGAGGATCTTCTGTTTGATGATGTAGTCTCTGGACCTCGTAAGTCTGATACTGATCCGATCCCGCTCCAACCTGGCGTGGTCGTGTATGACGGCGTTTGCCATCTCTGTCACAAAGGTAAATAGGTAATCGGAATAGAATATAATGGAGTTTGCCTGCTCGATTTGTACATTGTTTGCTGGTTGAAACAAATGATCTTCTGCCAATTCCTGTTGCTACTGCTTGCTATGTTTATTGCGCGCAGTATTTACTTAATTTGTCGAAACCAAGCTGAATGTTATGAACACAGCCATTTTTGCAGTACTGTCTGAAGAAGAAACCTCGTTTCTCAATATAAAACTGCTCTGACGAATTGATTTTAGATGCATTTCATTTTCTTGTCAGTGGTTATGATTTCTTTTAGAGAGCCATTTTGTATGTTTAAGGATAACTTTTAACCTGTAAATTCAAAGGAGCTTGCTAAATTGATGTTTATAACTTTAAACTATTGCAGTTTTCTTGTTAATCGGTATGATTTGGTGCATCATAGATGTATTGCATTAAAAGATGAGTCATGGAATTGGATACACTTCGTATGTAGTGAATCTGGCAGATCCACACAATAGCAGTTTGGTTATAATCTATTCATCGAAGTATTGATGCCATCCACTAACTTAAGGTTAGGCCTCAAGCTGTCTGTGCTGATGTGTTTGACTACATTGATTATTTGATTGTAGGGGTGAAGTGGGTGATTGAAGCAGACAAGGATAGGAAGATTAAGTTTTGTTGCCTTCAATCAAAAGCTGCTGAACCATACATGAGTTTGCGTAGTGTTGATAGAAATGATGTGCTTCGCCGATTCTTGTTCATTGAACGCCCAGGTCTATACTATCAAGGCTCTACTGGTTAGGAACAAATCTCTATGAATTACCAACTCCCCCATACATGCCTTTTTCCATCAAATAACCATTAGCTCACTTTTCATTAAGTTTACTTTTGAGTTGATGGAGATTACGATATCACTAATATACTAGCATTATTAGAATGCATAGTCTATCAGTACAAATTTTCTTTATATAATTGAAAAGTGACACAATAACATTAATTATGTGTGTGCTGTTTTGAAGAAGCTGATAATATAGGTACTCAAATTTACTTAATAATTCTTAAAAATGGTTATTTAGTACAGTATTGATGAATGCAGATAATTTTTTGGACTTAGGCGCATGGAGTCAAATAGTCTTGTAAATGACCAAATTAAATGCAGATCGAGACCGAGGTGAGTTATCCTCTATATATGAATGCCCTAATAAAATATGTTTTTCATACTAGAATGGCCTAATGAGATGGTCATATTGTTTGGCAGTTCATTGTTGAAACTTACATATGTTCTACTTAAACGCTCGCAGGCCTATGTCTAGGTGCTTTCAAATGTCTATCACCTTCTAGGCCCGTTAAGAACATATCTTTTCTTTTAACTTCATAATTGATTTTCAAAATTTATTTGTTTGTGGTCATCTAGTTGAAACGAACTGATTTTGTGCTTTTAGTTTGAAGTACATTGACTAGTGTTCTTTAAGAATGCTATACTTGGACATTATTGTTAAAATTTTGTTTTGTTGTTCCTTAGGGTGTATTGCAGGTTGTTATGTAGAAAGGATTTCACTTGGATAGCAGAATCTTGACATTGCAGGATGTTTTCTACTTGTCTATAAAGGAATATGCACTTTTTAATAGATAGAAATATTGGGACATATTTGTATTTCTCTTAATTTATCTGTGTAGTATAAATATACCATCAGGGCACCCTATTAGGGTACGCCATTATTCCATAATATTGTATATGGTATCAGAGCCTAGGTTAACCTAGAACCTAGCCGTCGTTCTTCTCTTTCTTCCCAATGGCATCGACTTCCGCTAACTCCACGATGGCTTTCTCTTCAACGATCCCAACGTCCTCCATCGCCTCTATTCAACACCATGTACGTAGGCACTAGCTAGTTGACCCTGATAATCACAAACACATAAAACAACGAGAACATACTTTTTATATTTTGAGGTCCAACTCCTTAACGCTAAATTTTATTGACATAAAACATGATTACATGTGTGAAATATTATATTGTATGTGAATGGTTTGGTTAGCCTTTCTTGAACTTTATCTTGTCAACCAGATCTTTTCTTTTTTAGCTTATTTTCTGTTGTAATTTTAATGTCTCCCCGTCACCCAACATAGATATATCTGTGAAGCTAAAAACTTCTTTAAATAAAGTTAATACTTGATAGCTTCCTTAATACACCAAGATACTTAGAGAGAAGGGAGAGCTAATATTCAGAGAGAAAAGGGCTAGCAATTAATGAGTCTTTTTCCCTCAACTACCGGTAAAAGCGGGTATTTATAGGGACAAGTGGGTTGGACCCCCAGGTCTTGGGCCTGGGAGATCCATTTACAACTATGGGCCGCTAATGGGCTGATTACATTCATTCCGCCCGTTAAGAGAACCTAAGCGCTCGCTGCTGGCTATGGATCTGGGGTGAAACCCGTTGGTGTCTGGTGTCGAGCCCATTGGATCTGAGGTGTCTGATGCCGAGCCTTATGGTGCTGAGGTGCCATCCCGTAGGGGAAGTGGGCCCTACGGTCCCCCTAATGTACTGGATTATGTGGGCTATAGTTCCGGGCCAATATACTCCATCAGGAGTCCCTCACTCTCCGAACTAAGGTATGTCAAGGTGAAGGAGAGTAGTGACCTGTTATGTTCCGTTATGCCTTGCTCATTTGTTATATGTGCTCCGGCGTGACAGTCATCCATGTATTGCTTAGGTCCATTTTGCTCTAAAAATCCGAGGCTGAGTCCCCCAGTCCCCCACCCCTTCGTCCGACGACGGCGTGGTCGAGGGATATCTCCTGAGGCGGATACTGATTCACTCTTTTAGGTGAAGGTGGACATACATGCGGCGCTTTGTGATAGGCTGTGTCTGGGCGGGCGCGTCGATTGGGCTACTGCTGGCGGTTTCAACTATAAATACCCGACTCTCTCTCTCATTTTTCATTTGTGTTTCTTCGAGAACGTACGAAGTGCTGCCCTTTTAGAGAGAGAGAGAGAGAGAGAGAGAGAGAGTCCCCCAGCTGTTCTTGAATTCCTTAACCACAGAGGCATATTGTGCCTTTACTAAGTGTTTCTGGTTATTCTTTTATTCTTGTTTGTGAGTTCTCCCACGCGCAGGGCTCAAGGCAGGATGTTTATTTTCCACAAGGAGGTGGGATAACATTTCATTCCTAGTCGACTCAGTTTGGCGGGTTTATAGTTGTTTGTTGAATTGCTTGATGTTTTATTAACTACTCCCTCCGTCCCATTTTACCTGTCTTACTTTCCTTTTTGGGTTGTCCCAAAATAAGTGTCCACTTTTCTTTTTTGGAAAGAAATATGTGCCCTACACCATTTCACTTATATTATATGCTCAAATCTCAACCACAACTTTTATATTTTCAACTACTTCATTAATAACCGTGCCAAGTCAAACTAAGACACATAAAATGGAATGGAAGTAGTATTTTTTTTAGTGTGAACATTTAGTGTTTATATTGCTTAGGTAAAACTTTGGCAGAAACATACCCTAGTATGAATATGGCTCTTGCCATAGCCGTTTAGGTGCATGTCATCAATATTGAGTATAACAAGAATAACTTATTTTTTTTTGAAAGAAGAATAGCTTATTTATTGAGTTCTAAAATATTTGTTGTTGTTTTAATAATAGGTTATAGGTATTTGAAGACGAAAAGCTGCCGCCCATCAATTTCAACACATTCTGTTTGAGGCCCTTTCATACATTTATCTTTTATTTTGTAATCAAGGAATAATTATTTTTGTATATGATGTGTTTTTAGAATCTGTCATGTATTTTCATTTTCCGTGTTACAGAACAACCATTTACGTGTAATAAAGTTGACATATGTGATAGGACACCGGCACAATTCAGAGTATAATCACAGTAATTCAAGCAGAAAAATAGTTATGGACAGATCAAAAGTAGGGATGGGTCCGAAAAACCGAAAATCGAAAACCAAAAATCGAATCAAATCATATCGAACCGTAGCCAAATAAAACCGAACCGCTAACAAACCAAAACCGAATTTAAAAATCGAACCGAACCGTAGTTGTTTGGTTAGATTTTCGTTTTTACCCTTCAAAACTGAACTAATTAAAATATAAAATTTATTTGTCAATTGTTAAGCATTAATCCTAATATCAATAATAATTTTTGGTTTTGTTGTGCTAGAGAAATAATGTTTTTGTTATGTTTAGTTTAGTTTATAAATTCATTTACACATTTGTTACCTATAATAATGTAGCTACATTGAATGATGATAATATGTTTTTACTAGTTATTAGTATTAATTCACTTTTATTTTTATCTAACATAAAGAATTCAGATTGATAACAATTAATATTCATCTCAATCATATATATCACATAGAACGTATATTCTCATGAGCCTTTTTTGAACTAGTAACAAACAATGTAATTTAATAATATATAAACTTTTATCTCTCGCATACTCATAATTCAAGACATATTTATTTATTTTCATTTTTATTTTATTTGTTGTAGTGCGCATGCATTGTTTATGTATTATTATTTTTTTGAAAGGAAAAAAAAAACCACTTATTCTAAACGTCATATAGAACATGCTCAAAAATTTTGATCAAACAAATCCACGTGAAAAAACCTTCAAAAATTATTAGTTTAGAACTAAAAATCATTATCACACTTATTATAAAGATAAAGAAACTAAACCTAGACCTAGTTTTTTTTTCAGACTTAGACTTGGACTATGGCCCTCTCCCCTTTCCCCTGGGGCCGCCCTTGTATAAAGCAATGCATATTAAACATGAAGATTTTTTATATATTAAACATGAAGATACATAAATATAATATGTTAATGAATGCTAATTTCTCGTAAAAAAATGACATTCATAATGATAACGAAGAGAGAGAGATATATATAAGGAACTAGTTTTGCAACGCGCGATGCGCGTTCGTATTAATGCCCAAGGCTATTGTAGGCATATGTCTCTGGTCTTCTAGCAATGAAATCCGACAGGTCTACCTCAATTAGTTGTTCATTAAGTGAGGACTAAATAGGCAAGGCAATATAGGCTGCATATAATCCAAAACTTCTGTTGCTGAAACAAATCTTTGTAATTTTGTTCCAGGTTCCTTCAAAGGTTTCAACAATTCTTTAGCTTCTTCGGAGTCAATGAAAGCCCTTTGACCTCCGGATAGATCAAGAACTGTTTTTTATTTGGATGTTTTGGCTTCACCTTCTGCAACCTCCATAACCCTTGGATTTCTTTTAATAAGAACATCTAACATAAACATACTTGATTCCTTGGCATAAAGTTGCACGGCAGAGCTTCCATCTTCATGTCTCCTTCTCAAAGTGTTTGTTTCCTCCTGCAAAAGCTATAGACTATTTCTTTGGCTGCCACTTTCGCCTCTTACTGACAAAATGGACGGAGTGCTAAGGTTTGGTGTCATTCTGTCCCCAAGCAATAATCGGGTACTTTGACGTGGCCCCCAGAGTTTTACAATTTAAGGTTCCATATGCTATGAGCTTTAAAAGGATCTATCTGACGGCCTGTTCAGTAACACTGAAGTGACAAAATGTAAAAGAGAAATGTTAATCTGGACGATAAAAATTGCTAGCAGATCACAGAATAGATAGTTCCATTTGTCAATAACCACTGAATAAAAAGTGTCTGGTTTATAAAAAAAAAGTGTTTGATCCTTTAAAAAAAGTGCCTGATCTTCTGCAACACATAAATACCCTTGAATCTCTATTCTGAAGTCTCCTAGTAGGAACATGTTGTATCTTAGGAGATACTATGCTATATCTGAACACATTCCCCTAAATGTAACTGGAATGATATGATTTGGCATAATTTAAAATAACGTATTCCATTCTAAAACATTATATAAAATGATAACATCATACAAATAATTACAGCAAGAAGATTGAAATGCAAGACTTCAATCAGGTGAAAAGTAAAGGATAGATTTCCGAAAAACATTATCAATAGAAAGAAACCATGTCACTATTAGAATGCACAAGCTGATAAATTTATGCATGAACAAGATGTTAAGAAGCAAAATAGTGACTTTAAACAATACATTATATCTTTCCCCTCCTTATTTAGTTTGATCAAAGTTAAAATCCACCGGGCTTGATCAAATTTTGAGTCCGTATTGGGGCTGAAACTATGAACATAATCTTATTTTACATTAACAGTGAAAGGGTTAAGAAATAAGTGGGATTTTCAGGTACTTATTTAGGTAAACTTCCCACAATATGCATCATATTTCATTTCAATGGGAGCTTCCATAATTGTAAGACTTGGGTGTCTATGAAGCTCCATTTATTAGTTTGGAAAAGATGCCAAAAGCCATTCCCATAGCAGCAGCCCCCACCCCCAATGAATGCATATTAGGGAAGCAAGGATTATGGAATGCCTTCCCTATATGCAAATGTAGATTAAGCCGCCAATACCCTCCATATAAATTATAAACAAAGACTTAATGAAGTATTGAACAAAGGCCTGACTGTAGTTGGGGTGGAAATTAAGTGACCTTTAATGTATAACCAAACATACATGGCATTGCAACTAAATCCCTGAGATTAAGTTACCTTTAAAGTGTAGTGGTAGCCATCCCAAGGCTTAAACGGGATCCCTTACCACTTCTTAAACTCTAAATTTAAGATACCTAATATGAAAACTTTTACATGCTAGCTAGCAACCACATAGTTAGCAAATCAGTCTCCAACTGTAAGTACATGTCCATATTTCATATGGACATTTCAGCAAATACATAGCAATCAAAACAAAACAAAACGGATACGGACAAGTAAATAAAGAATATAAACATAAGAATGTGAAGAAATACAGATAGGGATGCATAGGCACGATCGTACAGGAATATAAACACAGGCAGGGGCGGACTGTAGTACAGACCCAGGGGGCTACCGCCCTCCAACAAAGAAAAAATTAGTGTATATATATACAAAAAATAATTTTCGCCCCTTAAAGAATT